GAGAAAAAATTAAAACCGGCAACAAAAAAAAGAAAAAAAAAAAAAAAAAAAAAAAAAGACTCAGTGCCAAACCTGCAAGCTTAAATGGAACCTCTATGATGATTATATATTCTGTCCTCCATTTACTGATGAGTAGAAGAGTAAAATTACAGCCTTTAGGGTGAATGACAGATTGCATGGCAATGGTGACAGAATGTCTTCTTTATTCATAATGTTTTGATGCTGTCAGTCAACCACTCAATCAATAATGATCACCCTTCTTGTGCTTTAGAGATAAATTATTAGAAACTCATGTAAAGCATCAACAATACAATATTGTAACTAAACAAAGTTGTAAAATGTATATTAATTTACTTATTTCTTTTGTCACATCTAATGAAATCAAAATAATTTCTTCTCCTGACTACTCTGTACATTCCAGTCTCCCATAATGGAAAACCGGATGTAGACACACAGAGCTGAGTAGCAAGGACTTTTAGGTCTTGTCCGTGTTGCCAGGATACAGCTGTCATAGACGAGGCTCAGTTTCAACTTGGGCACTGGGATAAGTGAAACATACAGTTAAAGCTGGGAGGATATTACTTCTTAATGAAACAAATTTCCACAGTCGTTAAAAATAGAATCCCCTCATTTGTACATTTCTTCTGCAGCACAAAGTTGTCAGGATTTTTCTTCACAGACTGAGAGGTCGGTTGATGAAAGCAGTCAAATGGAAGGATTTAATTAAACAACAGCTACACAGACTCTCACTGAGATTATTTCCCCTGTAAAATCCCAAAACAGGATTGTCAGGATCAGTAAGGTGCGGTTGGAGTGTGCTTGAGATTTTTTTTTTCTTGTCCAAACATAGGGTTCATTTCATATTTTAAAACAGACAACACTTGTAGTGCTGACTTTAAAAAAAATAATAAAAACCTAAATATTCAGTTACACAAGAACATGGGAACTTTGTGTATGGGAACAAAGTCAAATCTACTTGATGAGACAAATCATCAAGTTATGTAATACTGGGAGAATCACTTTTGGCTCCAAGGTTTTTCACAAATACTAAAATCAATAGGTCAAAACTAAAAATGACTCTACAGGAATGTTTTTACCACTGTGAAACTGAATCACAGCAATGAACAGAAGCCAAATGTAATATTCTGAAAAAAAAAAAAAAAACTAACTGATGTATGATATTATTTATCAATTTAATTTTGAGGATTGTAATGGAGGATCAAACAAAACAAGAATGTCAGATCTGTTCATATCTTTGTAGAGATTTGGGTCATGACTAGAATCTGGCAGTTTTTTGTACTTGACCTCCTGCATTATCTCAATTTGAAATTTTCTGATCAGTAATTTGTGGCAGGTTGTGCTTAAAAAAAGCATTTTTCTCTCTGGACATTGTTCCTAATTAAAGAGGGCACAAAAGAAAAACAACAATAAACTAATGTAGGAATAATAAATAAAGCTAGGCACAGTTCTATGTTATTTTGGTATTGTTCAGAAATATCAATTAATAGCCCAAAAGTGGAGTCAATTTTTGCACATGCACATTTGCGCACAAGCACTATCTGTATTGCACAATCTTTTGCCCTTGTCTTCCATTGTATCTCCCATTGGTAGTCAGCAGCAGCCAGCAATGTGCCTCTGACACTCCTTTTCTCCTCAGGGACAGCTTGAAACCAGACCATCCTGTTTTCTTTTTCTCTTTTTTGTCTCGGTCTTCTCCATTCTTGGTATCAGATCATCCTACTCTGTACATTACTGCACATTACAATATTATTATGCCCCCTTAAACATTTACTGTTATATTATTAAATTAGTTTTATCACATCAGCACAAAAACTTTAAACCATTAGACTTGTTCTCCATTTTTGGCCATTCAGAGTTCCGTAACCTACGGAAGGAACTCCTTATGACGTTATGTGTTCATGCAATAAAAAAGGCCAATTTGTGAGATAATGTAAATGATTCTTGTAATAATTGCATGATCACATCATATTACAGACTCAGCAGATCAAGAGAATCACATATTTACATTTTTACAGAAGTGGCTATAAAGCAAGAGGAAGATCTGGTGGAAGATGGTGACAATAGCAGCACAGCACCTGAAGAAATGGGTCACCGAGGAGATGAAGGAGTAACACCGGAGGAATCTGCGACGAGCAGCCCACACAATGGACAAGATGGGCCTGGACCAAATGCACCATCAGACGCAGGGATTCGACAACAAAATGGTATGCATTATTTCTAAATGTAATAAAAGCATTTGCATATACGGATGTGTGGTATGATTCACATGTTTTTATAAAAAATTTTTAGGTTTCGGCAGGAGATTTTGTAGTTAACCTGTGACAGTGAGTCATATGCCTTTTTCTTTTATATATTTTCTTTGTTCCTCGACAGTGGGTGGAGTTTTCTTTCTTTTTTTTTCTTTCTTCAACAGTTTTGCTTTGAAATGATTAGCAAGGAAAAAAAAATATCCTTGGAATCTTCCGCAACCTGTTTCCAACTGACGCCATGACTCCTCTGGTTGTCAGCGCACTTAAAATCAGATTTCTCTTTTTCCAACTAGCTCCAGATCAAAAGATTTACTGCGAGCACAAAACTGACCACGCCAAACAGCTTCGTCAAATACATGTGTAACATTTACCCTGTTAAAAGCAAAAATAGGCATTTATGCTCTAAGAAAATTAAAACATGTTAATGACAAAATACTGAATGGATCAAAACAAAGTGCTTTTTGTGTTTGTCATGAGTCAGTTAACACCAGCTTACGGCTGTCTTTGTATTGTCCACTCCTTCATTAGATATTGCTCTAATTCAGGGTTTGAGCAGTTCTCGTCTCTTTGGCTTTTGCTAGAGGATATTTTTTAAATATCAGAAGCAATTTTGGAAATCTAAACAAACAGCAAAGATGTTTAAATGTAAGGTATAAATTACGACATAATAAGTGAGGAAAAGTGTAAGAGGTAAGTAAATGAGTGTTGAAATCCTGAATTAATGAAACAGGAAACAATTTAATTTTGATATTGTCAACTGGAAGTGTCTATGTAGTGTTGCTGCTAACTTGGTTGCGACAATGTCAGAGTTGAGCTAAATTTACTTTGTTCTGAAATTCTGATCCAGGCCATTTAATAGAGCCTTAAGTTAAAGAGACCTTTATATGGACATTATTGTGAAGTCATAATTTGAACAGTTTGTTATGAGTCATTAAAATCCCATCATCAACAAAATATCGCTGGCTAATAATCAAGAGCATCGTTCGACAGTAAAGCATGTGCAGCAGCTGCAGTCTGTAGCTCACACACACACACACACACACACACACACACACACACACACACACACACACACACACACACACACACACACACACACTTCCTTTCACTCTTTATTACAGAAGATAAAAACTTCTATTAAGACTCGAGTGTCGGACTGGAGACCAATCACATCTCTAGTCTTTAAGCCACGAGTCGAGTCTACAGTCTTTTATTTTCTCTCTTATGAAGTCTTGTCAGAGAATCTAAGTTTGATTTTAATTTGGGCTTTGACTGACTTATTGCAATAAATGGTCTATCCAATAAAAAAATATTGAATACAGGATTATAGTTAACCTAACTGTAGGATATTATAAAGCAATAAAGCTGCATGGTTAAAATACAGTTTAGAATTATAATACAATTGTATTATAATTAGAGAAGGCAATATTTATATGAGCATCAGTTTATCTTAATCACATTAACAAGAACTACTTTTGATTTAGTTCTGTTCCATACTTTGTCTTTCTTTTATATAACAAAAAATAAGCGTGTCAATATGTTAGGGAAGATGACGTGAAGTGAATATTTATGGTCTATTTACCTTAAAACATATTTATGAAGACACTCGTATCTAATGGCGCAGCAGTTGTCGGTCTGCACATGTACTATTCTGTAGCGCTTCATTTTGAAGTGGAACAAAGTTGAGGCATGGTTTTCAACCTTTTTCACCATTAAACATCTTACATCTGCAAGTTTTCGGGTGGATTCGTTATCAGCAATGCACATCTACAGATAGAGCTTTTTGCCCATTGTTGCGAAATCTCTAAAAGCTCACTCAGGACAGATGTAGAGCATTTGTGAGCCGCTCTTATCAAGTCTTCTCAGAGATTCTAAGTTTTGACATCCGTTACATTGACCCAATGTAACGGATGAATGCGCTTTGATCAAGACATTCTATTGTGTCGCTGGTTTTATGCTTTCGACCATTGCTCCTCTGGGAGGCTGGAAGTCTCAAGTTCTTTACAGCTTGTAGCAGCTTTTCTTGTTGTCTTATCGTGGATTTAGCTCGATCTAGCTTCCCATCAACTCTGAACATCTTCAGTGGTCCCCCGAAAGACAAGATTGCCCACAACATGGTACTGTTAATTCTCTGCTGTACATGGGATTTTGTGAGCCAAAATGACCAGTTTGGATCTAATCTTACCAGAACATCATCTTCAACAAGTTATCTGTTTCCTCAACATGACTTGTGAGAACTGTCTCTTTTCTCTACAGCAGGTTTTTTTCTTGCCACTGTTCTATAAATGTCAGTTTTGTGAAGTATAAAGATAATTATGACTGATTACATTATGGATCATTAGTTATCCATAATGGTATTTGTCGCTTCAGTCAAATTCTATACCCAGTGGGTTCAGTAAAGAGAGTTAAAATGTTTACTTTTAATTTTCTGTAAGTTCAAAGGTGCTCCCCCCCCCCACACCTTCCACATATTTTTCTTTTTATTTCATTTTAGAAATCTTCAAAATTTTACTGGGAAATTAAATATACTGTCAAAGGAGCTGATGAAATGCTTAGCTTCTCAAATATGAAGAACAAAGCAGTTGCTAGTGGTAACATAAAGTAAATGTTCAGCTGTTACATAACATAAGGGACATTATTCTATTTAAAGTAGAAAAATGACCTTTGCTCTCTTGGTAAAATCTGCTAATAGTAAGTCTGGTATTGACTTCCTGTACCGTCTTCCTTCAGGTGACAGGCCTTTCCAGTGCAACCAGTGTGGTGTATCGTTCACCCAGAAGGGGAACCTGTTGCGACACATTAAGCTGCACACAGGTGAAAAACCCTTCAAGTGCCCCTTCTGCAGCTATGCTTGCCGGCGCCGTGACGCCCTCACTGGCCATCTTCGTACTCACGCTGGTAAGCTTTGTTCTCACCCAGCATGCTTCTCTTTTTTAACCAAACCATGTCTGCTACCTAGAAAAGACTGTTGCTGTGTCACCAGAAGTGCTATGGAGATAAACAAAAGAAGAAGTTGTAGTTTTATATTTAGAGAGACTAATACTAATATTTCCCCCACTACATGTTAGGTCTTTGTTTATGCATAGTGCAATCATTTTAGCAAGCATCAGATTAGTTGTCCCAGATTTTTTTTTTTTTTTTCGGAAAGAGAAAGCATCTGTTTTATTTCGAGTCTTTATTTGCATTCCTCACATATTCTTCTTATATATTAGTGTGACTTACAGGCGTGTGCAGGTTAAAGACCTGTGCTTTTCATGTCCACGTTATAGACGTTGTGAGTGCTTTGTGGTTAGGTTCCAAGGACATGCTGTTTCTCAGTTGCTTTTCAATAGACAGAGGAAACTGTTGAGAAACATATGTGGAGTGGTAGCAGTCTCTCTCAACTGTAACCCACTTTCCTATCAGAGGACTGTTCTCCCCTCCATTGCGCCTTTGAAATCAAGGTCAGACAATACCGTCATTTCTGCCTGCGATGCCCGCACAGGGGTTACTCATACAAAGTCCTCCTTTTAGATGGAGGCAACATTTGTTTCTGTGTCTGTGCCAATAGAAGTTTTTATATTTTTATTTCATACTTTTTATATTTTGTTTGAATGTCCTGCAAAAGTATTGCCTTCTGAATTTTGGTTAAAAACCACCAACTAGAATTTTTTTTTTTTTTTTACTGAGAGTGTACACCGAGACAAAGTCACATATTAATTGCGATGTTGAAAAAAAAATGCATTCTGCAAATAAGAATCAGGAAAGTGTTGATTGAATTTGTATTCGGCCTCAATGAGTCAAAAACCACCTTTTGAAGCTATTACATTTTTGGTGGATTAATCTTTTGATATCTTACTCTTACTTGCCAAATAGCTCAGCCTCTGTCCGATCTGATAGAGAGCATTTGTAAACACACATCTCAAGGCCTGTGCTTTGACTGGACTATTCGTACACATGAACATGCTTTGGTCACAACCATAAATGCAGTTATGATTGTATGTTCATGGTCATTGGTCTCCAGGAGGTTTACCCTCTACCCCAATTTCAATTATGTTGCAGCCTCTACAGGATTCCCCTGAATTCACCCCCTTGCTTCTTCCCCATCAACTCTTACGGCTTTCTTTTAACAATGTGTGTGTTGTTTTTCTTTTGTATTGGCACTGCACTTCCGTAAGGGACCGTTTTGTTCACAGATTCTGAGCTGTGGGATTTCTGCAGCTCTTCTACCATGTGTCTCGTGGCTGCGGAAGGTTGTCCCTGTAGAGATCTGCCGTTTTGCTATATTTTTTCCATTTTCGCATGATGGATTCAACAGTGCACCATTCATGTCTTGAGATAATGTTTTATATCATAGCACTGCTTTAATTTATCAGCAGCTTTATCCAAGATTAATCAAATGTTTGGTGCTGGTTAATTAACCTCTGGACCCGTGAAAACCAAGATTAATTCACACATATGTTGGCTTTATTCATTAGTCGGAAACGTCTTAAGGCAGTTTCTTGCTTTGCTCTGAATTTTATTTAAGATCCAGATTTTTTATTTTTTCTTATTTTAAATACTGCATATCTTTTTCATACTGTAAAAGTGTTGGTCATTCACATAATATACTTTGGGATTTTTGGTTGTAACACATAAGTTTACAAGGTATTACTCTTGCATATCACCAGAGGTTTAATCGTAAGAGTCTTCCCCCATATTTATCCTGGATCCTTTCTTTATCCAGGCTCAGTTTTAAAGGCTTTCAAAGGTGACAGCTCTGACTTGGTTCCCAGCCATCAAGAACAGGTTTAGCCAAAAAAAAAAACACACAAAAAAGAGGGAGAGCGAGAAAAAAACAGAGTAGTCGGTTGAGGAAAAAGTTAAGAGAGTGACATTCAGTGAAGCAGGGAAACTGAAGACTGAACAGGGTGTTACACTGGAAGGTGGATATTTTCACAGTAAGGTCATTGTGAGACAATAACAGAGAACACTGTGCATTGAGAGGGAAGCAGTTTTTCATTAGCAACTACATGCCCCAATTCCCCATGTGTTAGTCAAATGCAATCAGTCTAGTAAGTCTGAGCTTAAAGCATTTACATAAATAAAAACAGCAGGTAAATGTGAGTTCTTCAGATCCTTCCAACATCTGCACAAGGTTGTGTGTGGGTGGTCATATAAATATGAAGAAAAAATGAACTCTGAGAATAAAGGCATGAATAATGTGCAAAACTTTAATAATTTTTAAAATTATTGTGATACACAGCAAAGAAAATTATTTCCGTGATCACCTTTCATATTGAAGTAGCTCATTATTTTAAAATATTAATACTGCAGTGACACTATGTGGTCAATTTCTGAGATTCTATAGTTGTCTGTACTGGTGCTGAATATTCTGTGTTGCAGTAGGAATAGAACAAAAAACATGTGCTTATGTAACACTAACAATGATAGTATGGTTTTGTCATTTTGTAACAAGTGGGGTTTATTTTTACAGCAAAAAAAAAAAATCCACCATCTAGACATTTATCTGGGAAAAACAGAAATATGATTTACTGTAAGAGTAATATGCAGTTCTTACTCACTTCCTTTACATCATATTTTTATTTTAGTAAACACACCTTTCTGCTTAACATAAAAAGCTCCTATGACAATAGGGGTGAATCTACCTCCAAGCATATGTAATGTGGTGTGTGTGCGTGTGTGTGTGTGCGCGAACGCACGCATATGTGTATGTGTTACTGCCTTAGTGTCTCAGACTGAAACGTGCTTGGTTTCTCTGTTCTCACAGTACTAGATCACCCATACATCATTTTCTAGTAGTAGCTGTAAAAACTATACTAGGCGATGTCTGTTACAGCCAATCATAGTGTCTGGTTCTTAGTAGTAGACTTGTGTGGCCTCTCCTTCACTCACTGACTCTCTTTATGAGTCAGTACCCTAATACAGGACACAGAAGTATTGCCTCAGCAGTCTTCATTTTGATGAGATTCCGCTTTATGCTGTGTTTTTGTGCTGAGTTTTTAAGAAGGATTTACAACGGAGCATTTAAGCAAAAGGTGCATTTGTCTTTCAAGTAAGCTCACCATTTAATGCCTGTCTGGTTAGAAATGTGATGTGTTAGAACAATGTAGATTGGTTGACTGAGGAAGATGTAAAGGATGTGTCCTCATCTTTCCATTTGATTGAACTGAATACAACAAAAGTGGTATAATGAATCACACTCCACCTCCGTAGCAGTTTAACTTGGAGTTACTTTCCTACCATCACGGGATGTGTGATCAACTCCGTTGTTTACTCATGCACTGCCACAGCAGTGGGAGTTTGCTTTGTGTGGCACAGACCAAAGTGTTTTGAAATAGAGACTACATGGCACAACTACTGATGTCGCCCACAGCCTCTGTTTCAGTCTAGCAACAGTTGTGTGGAATCCTCAGACTAGTAGTGGAACCTCCATGACCTCAGAAGATTACTTTTGCTTGGTTGGTACTACTAACAGTTCACAAGTGGTATTACTATAACGCCTACCTTTGTTGCTGCAGCTCCAGACCCTACTCTCTATGCAGCTGTAACTGAAACAGATATTTTCTCTATTGGTCACCCATTATTTTAGTTGGCAAACCACACAAGTGCAACTTCTGTGGACGGAGTTACAAACAACGGACATCACTGGAGGAGCACAAAGAGCGTTGCCACAGTTACCTCAGCTTGGATCCTGGTGCCAACACAGGCCCTTACACAGGTAAATGTTAGAGTTGCACAGTGAAAACAGCTAGTGACCGGAATTGACAGATGTTTATTCTGATCTGGTGTCCAGCCGGTTTGAAACTGAAAAAGCTCATTTCTATTTCTAATAAGTCAATGCACCCTTTCTGAGCGCTATCTTCTTCAGTCAGCTTTTGCTGAGTGAGGAAAGCTATTTTCAGAATCAGTGAGGTTTTTGAAAATGCAGTCAGAGAAAGCACAAATGTGTAAGAAACTTTAAACAAGGACACAGGATTTTAACATGTCTGCTTGTCTGTAATTCATTCAGGCTGAGAGAGTGAGTGAGAGCAAGACTTCCAGTAAATAACACAGGAGCTGAACAGAACTTAGTAAAGTGTTATTTATTATATTAGATTTATTATATTATATTCCATGTTTTATATATATGAATGAAATCCACATGAGATGTGCATTTGATCTTACACACACAGAGGCTGATACATTTTCAAACGCGCACTGTGAAAGTGAATTGCACTAAATAAAAAGGTGTGTTGTGAATCTGTCCTTTGTAATGCTAATTCTGAAAACCTAGTTAATTGTTCATTTGATATACTGAACTCAGTCATTTCTGTCTGTTCCTTAAAATGTTAGAAAACCTGTTTTACATTAACTTTGCTCTCATATAACGACATGAGCTCTGATTATGACTAAAATGATTAAATGAGCGCCCACAGTCAGACGGCTGAAAAGAAAAGAAAAACTAAACAAAACAACAAAAAAAACAATTATATATATATATATATATATATATATATATATA